GAGAGCTGTATTATATATATGATTACGTGTATCGCGAGATGGTGTATATATAGAGAAAGAGAAAATGCTCTTGTACGGCATTTATCATTACCTAATGATGAGCATGATCATGAGCGAGGAAGACGACGACGACGACGACGATTATGATGATGACCATAATTACGGCCTATCGATTTTAACTAACAAAATTATTGCATCTTAAACATACTTATCACTCGTGAGCTGTGTGTGTGTGTGTGTGTGTGTGTGTGTGTGTGTGTGTGTGTGTGTGTGCAGTGGATCCCACTCGAGCATCGCGATTTCCCGCCGTCTCTTCCCGAAATGTTCAAGGTCGTGTGTATGAGGGCAATGAAGCCATTATTAAATCAATGCTTTTATGCGCTGCTTTTGTGTATAGGTACACGGTATTTGTACGTACATGGAAAGTGAGTTGAACAATTTTAATCATTCGACGACTGAAAATTTACAAATGCGAGTTTATATTTTATCTATGCATTCATATATAGATTGACTGCGACAAAAATTGTCCATACACTGCAAAAATTATTTGTAAATTCCAAGTATCACTGTAAAATCACTGTAAATGTTCTTACTTCAAAGGCACTTGTAATGTATATTTGTACATGAAAGTTTAAGGACAATGCGATTAATATATAATAATTTATGAAAAAGTTTCTTAAAATTCATAAGAATAAGTTCTTCTCAATTATTATTTGAATTGAAATTCAAAATGGCTTTGAAATTCATTTTGAATTTCAATTTTATCTTAATCTTCATATACAAGATGATGAAAATTGAGAAATATATTGAAGAACACGGCACATACTACGTTTAGAATGCTGGAGTAATATAAGCTCTAGAACTTACCAGTAATTCTTGTGACGCAAAATTCTCTTAGAAGTACCTGACCAATCTGTTAGTACGGTTAGGTAACTAAAAGAGAATAAAGATTCCACTTTGGCCGCTAGGTGGCCACGGAGCTCTGAGCGCGTTCCCGTGAGTGAGTAGATCCCACCAGGATTTAATTGTCGGGCCGCGTCTGTCGTAACCAGATTCGTTCTCTGGCTAGCAACCAGTCAAATCAATTTCATCGAATCGTGGCGACGCCGATGACTCATGCGGTTGGCTGCAACGCGATTCAAAAGAAAATGAGATATACAAGATCATATGTTATTAAAGATTACTATCGTTGAACTTTAAACAACAAGTTTTTTACAAGTTTTTTTATTGACATTTATAGCCGATACCTGGTTAAATCAATTATTTATTGTATACGGCTAGTGGTAACATCGGTACCTGATCTACTTTAAAAATATGTACAAATATAAAAGTCGTGCTGCGCACATATTTGTATCTGCCTCCCCAATAATGACGTATATTATAAAACTAAAATTAACATTAGTTATGTCTCATCAAACGATCGAATAGATAAATATCACTCTATTGACGCTTGAGCAGATACTTACATAAAGAGTATTGCGTTATGCTTGAAAAGTACAAAACTTTAAATTATATTGAATTGAGGCAAAGGTGTTGAAAATTACATGTATTTTTCAAGTATGTAATAATTCATAGATTAACGCTAGATGGCGTATGGTTGAATCTCAAAACCAAAAGAGAAAAGATAAAGTTTTAGCATTAAGAAAGAGCGACTATTATTCTTATTATGAACAATATTCTTATGAATTTCTTATGAAGAATATTTACTGACAGTTCGTAATTCAGAATCTACTGAAAATCACTTTAAAGTCCCGTTTAGAGAAAAGTAAGCAGTGTTTAACTTGAATCGTCAAACAGAAAACTTCTACAACATACGCAAATATATTTTTCTCTTTAGTTCTTCGAATAAATCGTATTTTTTTTCATTTTCCTCGGCTGCATAACTAAGACTACGACGACGACTGGCAGGTACACGATATAAGCCACCTAATCGACGTTCAATTAATTGCCAATAGCTCATTGCCTAGCGGCGTGTCTACTTCTTGGCGGCTCTCTTTTTCTCTCTCTCTCTCTCGAGCGCACCATATGCACCGCGCGCAAATAAATGGACATGCCAAAGCGCCAAAGTTTTAAAGTATTACGTATCAATATGTATACGACGTACAAGCATAAAAATGTTCGCATGCACTCGGCGCGCGCAATTGCAATAACGACTATTAGTCCGTAATTATCTCTTATTTGTATAGAGCGCCTTATATATAGCCCGGAGAAGTAAAGCGGAAGAGCCGCCGCCGCCGCCGCGCTCAGAAAGAGCGAGAACGAAACGAAGAATCATACTTAGATATATACGTAGTAGGTACAGCGATTGAAGTGAATAAGAGAAAAATGAGAAGAATGTGAATGATGACAGGGGCGCAAAATGTTGGCGAGAGCTCAGCGCGCCGAGAGAAAGAAAAAGAGAGAATAGAGAGAGAGAAGGGCAAGATTTATCGGCTAAAGAATTGTTTTCAAGGTCGCTCGCTCGCTCGCTCGCTGCTCGCGGAAAACGTAATCAGCCGCGCGCGCACGGAGTAATTGGAGAGCGTACACGCGGGCGCAATATGCTCCGCGCGCAGCGGACTTTGGTTCCGCGTTTTATGCCATATAAAAGTGCTCGAGGCGCGCTGTCATATCGTCGTCGTCGTCGTGCAAAACCGTCGCAATTTTTACGTAAAATAATACTCGCTCGGCAGCTGCTGCTGTATGCTCGCTCAGACGATCACATGCTCTCGCGGGGACTTAATTAGATGAAAAAAAAAGAGAGCGAGAGAGAGACAAAAAAAGTATACGTCGATCGCGTATCATATCGAAATTCATAGGACTCGAGCCGTATGTGTGTGAGCGCACAGCTCGTTAAGGGACTAAACAAACGTGTAATGCTACGCGTGGGTGGTACCTGTATACGATCGCACGAGAACGGTGCGTTAATTTATTCAAATGATCGGGACGACGCAGTCCTCTGTGTGTTAGCTTGTCATTATTTATCGTTCGAGCTGGAGAAAGAGAAAGAGATAGAGATAGAGAGAGAGAGAGAGGAGACTTAAACTGCAAAAAGAGTCGTATATTATACGGCATGCCGGAATAGCATATAGGTAAGTGCTTGGTAGCCCGTTTCGACCCCCCGAGGTTTCGCTATTCTTTCGCAGCTCTCGACGATCGTCTTTTCTGCGCAATTATGCTACCGCTGCTGCGGCCATCCGGCCTTTTTTTTCATCTCATTTTTTTCTTCATCCACTCGATGTGCGCGAAACGAGCGTATACGAACAAGGTCGTTAGGCAGCAGCAGCAGCAGCATCGGCACTTGCCACTTTCGCTGCGACGAAATAACAATAAACGAGAGCGCGACCGATCCCACTGCAGCAGCCCCGACACGCACACACCGCAATTGATTTTATATTACTCGGTTAAAGACACTCTACGAGCCGTAAGTAATCGTATATCCGTGTCCTTTTTTGCTGCTGGCAGCTACTATGTAATTTTTCCGTCGATTCGCCGCGCGCGATATTGCTCGTCGCGCATAGGTCGCGCATTTTTGGGCAGTTATAAACCCCCGTCGAAGGAATGTTTTCGCCTTCCCCCCGCCCGTCAAAGTTTCACCTCGAATTATTGCGTAATTGAAATTTTTTCCACTTTAACGATCAAATTCTTCGGTCCTAACGATATTTCGAAATTATTAGTATATAATTACTGTAAAGTAAACCCGTGCTACCATTGGCTATACGTAATAAACTTTTTCAATAAAAATTTTGGATCATTGCGGCGAATTATCCGCGTATACGGATGGAAAAAAAATTCTCACGGCGAAAAGTCGCGCATTTCTACTACCGAGGCATCGCTTCCACATCTGTTTGTCGTTTCGCGTGACTTTGATGGCGATGGCTAACTGCTGAACCTTCGGTACTGCATTAGCTCGTCTCGTTCGTTTTTGCTTTTTCGCGCGACTACGACGACGACAAAAATAGTACACCGACGACGATCATGAGTATGTTCCAGTTTTTCCCAGGCTGCATACTGAAATGTGCGTTTCTCATACGTAATCGCCAGGCCATATGTTGACTTTAAAATTTAATTTTTTTAATTGTATTAACAAAAATATTTCCGGTGTCTTTAAGAAACGTGAGGTTGTCAAACGAAATAAGTATTTATTCACAAAGTCAATTTTATTTTACAAAAATTCATGATTTACAAAATAACTTAAACGATTAAACGTACCCAGACGTTACTGTACAAAAGTAATAAAAAAAGATTATCCCTTAAAGCTAGTTGTTTATTTATTACAAATAAACTAAAACAAAGTAAAGTTTCTCAATGTTACTTATTTTTCAAAGGGTTTTGTGTGAGTCGTACAAAGATCATTGATACTACAGTGAAATAGTGTTCCTTCGCAAATAATAAAATAATCGTCACAAACGTTACAAATGTTTCACGAGTACTCCCACACCTAATGATTTTCTTTTCTCATACTTGCTACTGCCGATGCTTGAAATTCACCCAGACAACTTTTTGACTCGTAATCGTGCTTGAACATAAAATTTCATCATTGAAGAAATTATTTGATACAAATAATTTTTTCAAATAATTCATTCGTAACGTCAGCTCGACAAATGAAGTGAAGGGTTTACCCTAGAAACGTTTGCAAAGCGCCTTGTTTTTTATCAAATTCGATAATCCAACGTCATTTGTTACATGAAACAATTGAATCGGTAAAGTAGGATAATTACTGTGATGCGATGAAAAATAAATTACATAGTTTGCATTAATAAAAGTGAGTTAAATTGAACTAAGAAAATATCATCTACACTTTTTACATCATTATTAAAGAGGGAGATGATTTCAAGAGTTCTCGTACTTTTTAACATTACGCTATTATAATGACTGTACAGGAATCAAAAACAACGGCTCCTTAAAATACCATCAATAACCCAGAATTTTTATAAATTTTAATTCGTAAATTTCACACGGAAAAGTTCATATCGCGGCTCCTTCGAGAGGACGTCGTAATTTCACTATTGACACTTTAACTAGATATTGTCCCGCTGACCGCCGCTTCCGTTGACGAATGTCCGAATGGAGTGAGCAGCACCCTGAAAATGAGAAACACATATTTTTACTTTTTATTTTTTTTTTATCGAATCCGATGGTTATTAGATACGAGAGTGAACTTTGCAAAGAGTGCGTAAACATCGATAATATTACTCATTCATTAAAATTTTTGTTATTACATACATTTTTTATTAATTTACAAAACGTGTTTGATAAGAAACAATAAAAAAAAAATACACACACACAGTCTGCTACATCGAAATGACGAAATAATGACTCGAAAGTGAACGATACGATAAACACAAGAACATGAAAATCATTAACTGACCCTGATAACAGCACCGAAAAGCTGGCCGACCGCTCGAGTCATGCCAATAGCGGCGCTGACGACTTGGTTGCGAATCGCGCCTCTCGCGTCGTCAGCGGCGTTGCCGTCGCCGCCGTTGTTGTTGTTGTTGGCCGAGCCGAAGCCGGCACTGGCGGCGAACGGACCGAAATTGTTGAAGAACGGCCTGGGATAGGTCGATCTGGGCTCCTCCGTCGTCGTCGTCGTCGTTGTTCTTCGCTGCGTCGGCCGTCTCGTCGGCGCCTCCTTGATCAAGTTCTACAGTAGCGGGGAATTAAAATGTTCAATCCAACCAAAGTGCGCTCGTGTTTGTTAGTAAAAAAAAAAAAATATTATCACGGGTCGTTTGTTAAACATTTTTTTTTTGTACAACGGTTAGTCGGACTGCAACAGAACAGAAAGAAAAACGTATTTTTCTGTACGATATGAAAAACTTACGGCCAAAGTGTCCGGCGTCGACGGTTGTACCCCTTGGATTTTCAAATAGTCCGCCAAGGCGGCGGCATCTTTTTGATCGTTACCACCTCCAGCGGGCAATTTCATCTGACTCACCAGTATCGCGTTCAACAATGCCTCGTCGTCTTTGCTCAGATTCAATTTTTTCGTACCATCGCCTGAAAGATAACAATCGACATGAGTTAAATGGACCTTTGAATATCGAGATTGAGATTTTTAAACACTGACTGTTGGTCTCTCTCGTAGCCTTCAGTAGAGCTTCCAAAAATTTGGCATCGTCCTCGGGTGAAAAAGTCGTCGAGGACAGTTTACTTCGCGGCGTCGCCGAGTTGGACAAGCGCACGGATCTCGGCGTGTGACTCGACTCGAGCTGATCCGCTTCGGGATAAGACTCGGTCGTGGTGGTGCTAGTGGTGACTCGTCGAGCCGTCGTCGACGGCCTCCTGGCGGCGACGGTGGGCCTCTGAGTCTGAGCTTGAACTTGCTGGAACGGATTGCGCCAGCCGAAGAGATTTCTCAAGATGTTGCCGGCGAAACCTGTGCCAAAAAGTAAATGTCAAACAAATGTCAAATAATGGAAAAATCGTTATAAATTACCAAAAGGCCCAGCAGGTTGTTGCGGCGGCGGTGGAGCTTGCGTCGTGGTCTTCGGCCTCCTGTTCACTGGCTTGGCGGTTATCAAAACGGGTGCAGCCGTTGTCGTGCTCGTCGTCGTCGTCGTCGGCCTGCGCCTCTGAGGTCTAGGCGTAGTCGTGGTAGTAGTCGTAGTGGTGGTAGTGGTCGTCGTCGTAGTCGTGTAAGCGTCGTAACTCGAGTAAGCTCGGACGGGTTTCCAGGTGTAGGGCGTAGTGGTGGGACGCTGAGTTGTGGTCGTCGAGGTCGACGACGAGGTCGACAGATCGATGACGATCGGCTCGGCCGACGATCCGGCGGTGGTCTGCTTGCCGCCGCCAATGGAATTGGCCCCGTCGAGCTGCTTGATGACTTTGGGCGTGCGCGTCGAGATCTCGGATACCGATCGACCCAGAGCCAGGGCTAAGATCTGCGAAATTCATTAATTTTCCATTCGTCAGCTACGTAGCGTCGACGTAATGTACAGTTTATATAAGGTGCCGCGCTTGTATATTCGTCGAGCCCGGCATACCGATGTAACGCTGCCGCAGAGCTCGCGTAGAATCTCTTTTTCAGTCTCTCTCTCTCGTGTCCTGCACACACGCTCGAGCTTTCCCGATGCGCTCGAGCAAAGTGTGCACTTGTAGTTTATAATTGGCTCCTCCGCGGACAAAAAGAAAACGTGTCATCGGACTCGCGCGAGCGCGGCAAAAAAGATCAGTCGTCGTCGTCGTCGTCGTCGTCGTCGCATACCCACCGCGCGGTATACGAGAGCCGATGCTCCGTCTAGGCCCGCTGCACACGCATACCTCGTGCTGCTGCCGCTGTTGCTACCGCGCCACGTGCAGCGCATTGTAAACACAAGGCAGTAGTGTGTGTGTGTGTGCATATATTTTAAAGAGGCAGGAAACGCGTGTGTGTCCCTTTAAAAGACTTCTAAAATATTTAAATGAACGCGCGCGGCAATTTTTCGACTCGAGTTATCTCTCGCTTCCCCCCTTTATATATATACGCTACTACTACTACTTGTTGCACAAACGCGCGTACACCACTGCGCGATGGACGTATATTATAACGCGCTTGTTTGCATTTTTTTCCTCAATTAATGAAATAACTCGACACGCGTTCGCTCGTAAATCTTTCCATGGCGCGGGAGGAGAATTTTTCGTTGTCGCTCTCGTAACTTTTGCGTAGTTTTTACATGGTATGAATAAATTAAATACCCTCTCCCGCGCCCCTTTGGCCTTTGATTTTTTTTTCATCTTACTTTTCATTTCGAAAATAAATACCATCGTACTCTCCGTGTATTACACGTGCATTCCGATACAGGGTAAGCCGCCTGTTTTTTTTGTGCCTCGTATCGTGCATAGTTATGCAGGCATAGGTGAGACTACATTACATTCATACACTTGTCGATTTTTCAGCTGGTATATGGAAAGAGAATCGGCAGCAGCAGCAGCGGCGAACAATGCGAACGGTAGCAATGGGAAGTCATGCCGCGCGCGGAGCATTCCAAGTATCATCTTCTTTGTAAATCTCTATACACTATATAAGCTCTTGCGCTGCTGCTGCAGTACTCCGAGTCACGTCATCGATTATATTATTCGGCCCTTATCGATGTCGAGAGAAAATATGCGCGATCGTGTCTGGATTTAGCTGCGCTATGTGCATTGCGCGCGTCGAGGTCGCTATATACTACGCGAATTTGCATGAGGGCTAAACCGCGAGCGCACAAAAGCGAATCGAGCGAGTGAGAGAAACTATTCGCCTTCTTGTGTGTGTGTGTGTATGTGTGCGCAGGGAATAAGTTATAGCGCCAGGTATATGGCATTGCGAAAGAAAGAGAAACATATATTCGAGATCGCGACTGCATATAATACGGGCGGCGCGAATACGTGTCTCTATACAGCTTCGCGACGACATACCCATGCACACACAGACACACATATATTTACGTGGAAGGGTTAATAAAGAAAAATTTGAACGGCAACAATTCGACGCGCTGACATAATGGTGGTATATGAGATTCTGACAAAACACTGACAAATGCTTGGCATATAATGCATACGCGTACACGCGATGTATGTTGAAACTTATTGTGTGATATGGTGTGGAATAAATCAATTCCTACATCGAGGCCCGATTTTCAACGCAGCTATTTCGTACCGAGTCTCCAAAAAGTTTAACAAAATTTATGGAAAAATCAATTACTCGTTAGCGCCCACAGTGATTTTTGGTCTAATAGCCATAATGAGCTAGACCAGATAAAACACGAAGAAGAGTAGTGGCGAATGTAGTTCTGGGTTAAAAGTAGCCGCTCTCTCTCTCTCTACTTCTCGCGCGCAAGTACGTATTCTATACGTAAATAAGAAAAAAAAAAAGAAGTACACGTACTCGCGACGCGAGGCAATAATTAGCCACACTTTTAAGCAGCAGCACTCCATAATGTACAAATTAATTATCGCAGTCAATAGGCACACTACAAGTTTATATATTATCAAGTGCTCTGCGGAGGAGTATCAGTGCGGCACGATCCACGATGCGCGGCGCATGTAGTTGCAGCGTAGTTGCCGACTACTTAACTTAACTCGAATTGCGCGCGAGGCGCGGGCGCTACTGCATGACAACTTTGGCATTACGATCGTGCGCACACAATATGCGAGCGAAAGATGATGAATTATTATATTACGTGTGTGTGTGTACGTGCGAAATCGTTATATACGAGTGCAGCCGTAAATGATGAGGTGTTACACGCGCGCGCGCTCCACACTTATTTATGTATAGGCAATTAATATCGGTATAAGTACACAGAGGCCGAGAAACGAGAAATCATTTCGATCCTATTTGATCTGAGACTAGTTAGACTCGCAGAGCCGCGGACTCGTTTTTCGCTCTCGCAGTTTAAAAATTTCCGCATATATATCTATCAATTAAGCCATTCGAAAAAGGTAAGTATGCGCGCGCGCGCGTATACGCTCCGTCGGACTCACCTTATTAGCGAGCTGCTGCTCCACTTCTGTGAGCGTCTTGGGTGTGGTCTCGACCTCACCTCCTTGGCTCGGCTTCTCCAGCTGTGGAAATATTTGTATTCGGCTCGTTAATGAATTTAGGCGCGATCGATGAGTTATACGAGTACGAATTTCTAGGTATAATATGTTTACCAATGCATTGAGGAAAGCCAAATCGTCGAAAGTCGAGCCGAAGGCATTTGGATTAGCCGTGATCGGGCTGGCGGTCGTGGAAAAAGGTGCCGAACTCGACAAAGAGGGAACCTTGGTTGGTGGTTCCGTCGACGTAGTAGTAGTAGTGGCGCGTGCAGTCGTTGTGCTCGGTGGGGTAGTAGTGGCTCTGGTGCGAATGTACATAGGCGCAGGGGTCGTAGTGACTGGTGGCTCGATCGTAGTTTCGCGAGTCGACGAAGTACGTGCTAGTTTTTCTGTCGTCGTAATCGGAGCAATCGTTGACGTAGTCGTTGCTTTAGATGACATTCTTATCAAGGAGTTTATAGTATCTGCTATCGTGTCCGAAACTTTGTTTGACCTTGGAGTCACTTCGTTTGATACAGCCTTGAATATACACGATGTTTTTGAATTATTTAAATTTATCGTGTGGATTTTAATGTAACTAAATAATATTATTGGACTTGAAACTGATTATATTGAAATGAAACTTACTGTGGTAGAAGTAGCAGGTACACTGGAAGAAGAACTCTTACTGCTAGTTTGTTCCGTCGTCCAGTAATTGACAAATTTATCCTAAATTACGAGCCATTGTTACTTTTCATGTTAAGCTATCTAAATATTTTTTAATTTGCACAATTTATATACCTGTCCTATCAAAATATCAGGCCGTGCGAGTTTTTTGTCTTCTTGAGAAATAGAGTTACTGGATCGATTTTTATGACTAGAATTATTTTCAAAATTTGGGATCGTTGTCACCTATGAAATAAGTTGGATAATATTTTTTAGTAACCTATGAATTAAATCATCAACTACTACTTAAATGATTAAATTAAATTAATTTACGAATCAAAATCTTTCAATTGCTTTTCAGAATTGGTGTTGTAAAAGTGCCATCTTTAACTAAGAACACCACAGATATATAATGTGCTACTATGTGCACACTTCGATTGTACAGTGCAAAGTATACTATGAGAACAACGTCAAAAATACCTGTGTGATACAAATTGCAACGTTTTTCAAGGTACGTTCCTTATTCCTCCAATGAAATAATTCATCGATAATTTCGAGTACTCAATAAAGTTAATGTTAATGGTGAAAATATGTTCTTGAATATTGATCAGACAAGTTCAGCTATTTACATATTTACATATCTCAAAAGAAATTTTTTTAATTACTTCAATATAAATAATTTTTTTCTCAAAACTGTATAGTATTTACAAATTTTGCATTATTACTTGAATGTGAGTACAACGTACTTTGCAATTCTTAAATTAATAAAAATGTATCTTTATTATACCAATCTTCCAGATTCACTCGTGAACCTATCAAACGGCCGATTGCCACTGAAATATCCTTGAAAAGAGTTTAAATTTTCTAGTTCGTTAAGGGTGTAGATGCGAGCTTTCTGGGTATTCACGTTGTCAATAGGACTACGACGAGTCTCAAGGTAATTATTGCTCTGAGTAAAAATGCCTGGTTCATTAACCTGATCAAAGGGAAGTCTGGGCCTGTCGGTCGTCGTGCTCGTGGTCAAGGAAAAAACGACCTCGACAGGATTGCTGGGCGGATCCGGTATTATCGTGCCGTTGGGAAATTTGCGCACGAGCTTTCCATCGGGAAAGATTCCAAAGATCACGTACGGACTATCGACGTTCCTTGAATCAATGAGGTTATCTTCTGGGCGTTTTCTGACGATCGTTTTGTTGGGAAGTATTCCGTAAATCAAATAATCTCTGACGGGAGCTACGGTGCTGGTGCTCGAGCTCGCTCTCCGATTAATACTGTTCGTTATTTCCAAATTTCGACGTTCGTCGACGATTTTATTCGCTGGCATCGTTAGTTTGGGATAGTTTGTAGTAGTAGCGACTTGTCGATGATCCTTCGTAGTAGATTTTATGATTGTCGAGGCGTTGGCCAGGATCGTCGTCGTCGTCTCGAACGGAGCTATTGAATTTGGAGAATCATAAATCGGTTTCAGGAGGTTAGTGATAATTGAGGAGTATTCGGATGATAAGGGGTAATTTTTCATTGACTTTGTTTTCATCGTTAATTGATAGGGCTTTTTGCTGAGATTTGCCGTCCTTTGGGCGATTGGAAGAAGAAGCGTAGTGTCCTGGAAACGTGTAAGCAAAGTTGGAACGATAGATCATGAGTCAGAGCCATTTCTTATCAGCACCGATACGATTTATTTTCTAATGTAGCCTAACGAAAGCAGAAACACGAAATAAAAATCGCCAGTATGTAGGTGCGATTTTTGTCGAGGCGCTTTTTCACTACAGGCGAAGTACAACACATATAATCTGTCGCAGCAGGATTTGATAATACTGGATGAGGTGGGGGAGAGACATTGACTATACCGATAGGTGCATTTTTACTATATAGAATTGAAGCATGCGGGTGGTAACCTAATACGGTGCAAAAACATTGGTTAAATCTAAGGCGGTCAAGTGATTAATTGAAAATGGAGCGATTTACTATTGGGAAAAGAGTTGCGGTCTCGACAGACTAAACTATTTGGTAGGATAACTAAGAGTACAAGTGTTCATTCTTGTATTAGTGTCGGTGTCGATAGAAGGTTCAAATTTTTTTTTTTGTTGAATAATATTGTGGTGCGAAGAATATTTGTCGATTGATCAACTATAGAAGCTTGAGAATCGATGTCTACAGTGCTTTCATTAGTCACAGATTGAGTCTTACTGGTCCGTTCTAAAAAGCTTCCCAAAAGCCGGAAAAACAATCAGGCGAGCTCTGTCCACGTCTTATCTTTTTTCATTCGTTTACAAAAAAAATCAAAAAATGCTCGAGCTGAATTTTTCAGATTTTTTTTTCAGTCACAAGATCGTTATAATAGATTGTTACGGTGCTGAATACTGATAGTTTTTTAACAATAGATTCCATGTCCTTGTTATTTGAGAGAATTTTTGTCATAAAAAATTGTCTAGTACCTGTGGACATTGATGAATTCATCGAGTTGTAGACGTGTATTTCAAAATCCAATGTTTTAGAAACATCGTGCGGATTGATTGAATTACTGTCGTTACTCGGTGCTTTTGAAACATTAATGTTAGAATATTTGCTATATTCTTCGTAGACTGACATTTCTCTAGATGTCGATAAATCTGATTCGTCCATTTCGTGAACCGAAACGAACTTCACTGCAGGTACTATCGATGTAACTTTTTTCGACGCTTTATGTTTGAAATTCTGCTCATTATCATCTTTTGCGTCAACTTCTTCTGTTTTTATATCTAACATGGCTACCACTTCTAATTTTTTGTTTGTACTTTCTACAGTTGGATTTATTTCGGTCGCTAGATTTAATTTGGATGCTTTTGTGGGTCGTTGGCCTAACTGGATCTCCATGAGAGTCGATTGTTTTGATTCATCACTACTGTCGGTTAGATATTTATTAAATAATGAATTACTTACTTCTGAGACTACAGTACTAGAATCTTCCGATTCATTTTGATTATCACTGTCTTGGGATTTTGTCAAATTAATTTCGATAGCTTCATCCGATTTAGCTGTGTTCATTTCAATGCTATCTGCGGACAGTGTCGTTGTCATTGGCTCATCGCTCGTATTCTCTGTTTTCATACTAATCGATGTCGGAGGTTTCGATATGATTTCAATTACTTTGAAATCTGCCGATTTGCCGGTAGTTATCGCACTATTACCGATCGTCACCGATAAATCGGCATTCGATTCCGTACTGGATGGCATAAAATCGGTAACGGAATCGGTGGAATCGGCCGTCGACTGCTCGCGCTTGTAATCAAAAGCAAACGTTTGCACGGTAGTGACGGCGTCGTCTTCTTCTGCGTTGCCACCGAGCGTCATCGTCGGCGGTGGTAGCGTGACTATTTCCGCGATATCCTTGACGTCGTTCGAAGCGTCAAAAATATCGCGAGTCGTGCTCTCGATCGTATCCCGACTAAATGCGGGTTGCAGCGTTCGATAACTGAATTCGTCGAAATCAATATTCGGTGCCGGATCGTTGTTCTGCAATAAAAAAATATAATGTGCTTTCCAATGTGCTGTACACTGTATACAGTGATGATCTGTATGTACTTTTATTGCGACGAGGCAATTTCTTTCGAATGAGACATTCGACATTGAATAGATATTGGAAGCAGTTTGTGTAGGTGTGTGTGAACAGTAACAAATAATTTTACCGCAATTTTTTTTATCATCGAAAAATAATCAATCAACCTCGAAAAAGTGAAACATGGAAATACAGTAAAAGTGTTTGATGTGTGTGTTTTGTTTTCTAAAAATTAACGTGCGCTTTCAAGCTCTAATCAAAAAAATTTACACAAATTTCTACGATTTCAAATGAATAATTTCTACATGCTCAAGCGAGGGTGCTTACAATTTGAATTTGCGCCATACACACAAGTGAACTATTTTTTTTTCAGTGCGATTGAATATAACTTATCGTATGTACACCCACAAATCCATTGCATTATGAAAAAAAAAGTATATAGGGCTTACCTCGGTTATGGCATTCAATGATTGGGTGGATTTTTTCTCGAAAAATTCCGCACCTCTGTACCTCGCGCTGAATTTGCGCGGAGTCCCGCTCGAGGTGGCGGCCTTCGGAGTGGCGTTCTATAATCACGGAATAAACGACGTTATAATCGATAAAAAATATTTCAAACAGCCGTCGTAAAAAAAAAATACTCACGACGCTATTGGTATTTCTGTAGGAGCCGCTGTAGTTGGGCAATTTCGGCTCGTCGGTGGTAGTAGTGGCGATCGCGGCCAGGAGCGGCGCCACCGTACTGCGCAGCTGCTCGAGGACTCGCTCCTTGTCGGTGCCGAGGCTCGCCGCGGCCTTGGTCGGATTGTAGATGTTGGTGGTCGGTGTATCGCCGGCCGATTTCTGCATCGGCTGATCGGCGGCTCGGTGGGGCTCCTGCGTTGCCGACTGCGGTTGCATTTCTGCGCTTGGTCGGTACGTCGTCGTCGTCGTCTTGGGCGTCACGGCCAGCAACGGTTTCTCCGTTGCCGATGGATAAACGACGAATACCGGCGAGCCCGTGTCGTTGGTCAGCATCGCTCGGTACTCCAGTCGAGCTTTCGACCAGATGTCATTGTCGTCGCTCTTGTTATCGTCGCTGCTCGCGATCACCGCGTTCGAGGCGTCGTCGATCTCGTTCAACGAGTCCTCCGAGGTCGACGCGACCACCGCTACCGGCAGGGGCGTCATCGTCGTCGGCTCCTCGTAAATCGGGGCCACGATGCCGTCGGCGGTATTTTCGCTGCCGACAGTGGTCGACGACGGCGTCGTCGTCGAAGTCGGCGATCGCGGGGTCACGATCTCGGTAACCACCGACGAGGAGGTGGAGACCGAGGACAAGGACGACGCGTCCTCGGCGTCGAGCATCTTCTCCGTGGACGAGCTCACGGACTCGCCCTCGTCCTTGACCAGACGCGTCGAGAAGGAGAAGGACTTGACGGTGCGCATGGTCGTCAGCAGGGTCGTCGAGCCGCCCTCCAGCTCGCTCTTCCTCGGCGGTTTTGGCGTCTGCTGCTTCTCCTGGCTCTCCAAGCTCTTGCGCAGCTTGAGCGCGACGGCCTTGATGTCCTCCACGTGATTTTTGTCGTTTTTACGCGGCGTGAAGGACGACGATTTTCGCGGTTTTTCGGTCGTCGTCGTCGTCGTCATCATGTCTTGTACAGCGTCGTCGGGCGAAGCTTTGGGGCCCCGACTCTTGTTGCTGCCTCTCGGCTTCGTCACGTACTTGTGCTTGATCTCCTCGTATCTGGCCACTCTGGCCGACTTGGTGAAATCGTCCTCGACGCTATTCTCCTCCGGGCTATTTTTTTCCGCGCTAACCGGCGATGGCACTTTTATCTTAGGAACGTAGGGACTTGCCTGTTTATATCTGGAAATTCTCGTTTGGTTTTCCTTAAAGTTCTTTCGCAGCTTCGAGGGCTTCCAGTCGCCGGACTTGGTGCGATTGCGCTGCTGCTGTTGTTGCTGCGACACCGATTCGGCCTTCTCGTCGAGCGCGTTAACTTTTCTCGCGACTTTGACGATCTTTTGATCCTCGTTGCCCTCGGAATCGCCGGCGTTCTGATCGTCCGCGAATGATTCCAGGATCAAGCTGGCCGCCACGGGCTGACGCGACGCAGCGCCCTGATCGTCGAAAACCACCAGCTCGGGCTTGACCAATTTACGCGCTTTTTCCAATTTCATTCTCGATCTAGCTGCGAAAAGCTCGGCAGACGACGTCTTGCTTGCCTGCAAAAGTTTCGTGTTGAGCAGCCCTGTAGTAACTTTGTTTGTTTTTTTTTTTTTACAAGTACCGATCTTTGTTTTTTTTTTTTTGGCTCTCAAGCATTCCAGAGCCCAGCCCAATATGATTGTTTGTTTTGTTTGGTTGATTTTTCTATACATTTAATTTTTTTTTTTGTTTATCCACACCATTTGCACACTTTATGATTCTAGTTTTTAACCAAGATTTCCCGAAGCATTGCATTACAGGAAAGAGAATAGAAAAAGAGTTTATGTTAGTTTTGTTTTTGGTATACATTTTTTTTCTATTTTTGTTGTTGTTGTTGTGTTATTTATACACGATGAGATTCACTCGCGTGGCAGAAGGTGCTTGTAAACAATGTGAAAAATAATAATAACGATAGTTAGGAATCTCATAAATACTCGGATACTTCGAACCGGCTTTTTTGTTCGGCGTTTCCAACAACTGCCCAATAATCTGATAATTCTCGTACTCGGTATACCTCTTTTTTTCGTGTACGATGCTTCGATATTTTTTTTTTTGATTTTTTAATTTAGTTTATCATTCTCTGCAACAATTTTCGTTTCGTGCGTGCGTGTGCGTGTGTGTAATCATCGAGCGCAGTTTAATTCGACGAGAATAGATTCAAAACGGAGCGCAGTATCGCAGAAGTCCATGACACGAGGCGACGTCTAAAAAGCCTGAGCCACGTTATTGCCGCAGACGACAGAAACTGAAAGTTCAATTAGGCGAGTTTCAGGAAATGCTACTATATACACGTTCGCATCGTCGTTGATTACGCACCCATATGATTCTGACCACTACGATTAGAAATAAACTTTTCTAACTAACGGTTTCGTGGCGAGTTTTTAATTATTGCATTTCTGGATCAAATTAACAACTCAGTGGAAAAGCTTTGTCATCGACCTTTTTTTTACTCTCTCTCTACGAAATTACGCAATCGAATGAGTGAGTGAGTGAGTGTGTGTGTGTGTGTGTCTATCTATGACGAAAATAGTCGCGTGCGTATAATTTCGAATGTTTTCGAGTGCTTTGCAAAATCAATCTAAAAGTACTGACTACGCCATAATCGTCGAATTATGAGCTAAGTGTGTGTGTATACGTGTGCGTATGTGCGTGTAGCGTTAAAAAAATCCCATCAAGAAAGTTTTCTCGTTTGCATGTGCGCATTGTTACGTGGTGGAATCATTATTCGCCATCTCAACAAAAAAAAAACTATCGCATATACCGTGCGCGCGCGCACACACACACAATATATATCCACCGTAATCGCCTACGCGCGACTTGCACAGAGACTTTAATCACGGACTCGTATATTCAAACCTGTACACATATACATATCGCAAATGCGTATGCACGTACGCACACATCGATACCACGCCTATCACATATATACGTCTAAAAGCTGCACACACACGAGTCGGCCGCTTTCTCTCTCTCTCTCTCTGTGTTCGCGAGCACGAGCTGTATGAAAGGTAAGTATTATATGGAGACCCGAAATCGAAATTGGACGACGACGTCAACCGGCCCCAAGTTGGGTGAATGGCGAACCGGTTCTGCAAAATCTAGATTAAACTGCCCGACTCTGGTTCGTATGTGTGTGTGTGCGTGTGCATGCATATATAGTATGCTGTAAAGTTTGGTTGATATTACTTCGATTCACGAAAGCACCAAAACATTTTTCGGTATTTTTTTTTTTTAATATACACTGCGCCGATTTCGAAGTTTACGCTCGTTTGTGCATTTATTTCCATTATTATATTATGAACATTAGAAAACAGAGATGATTAGGTGACATTTATTATATGAATAAACATTTGTTCAATGTATATATGGAATGATGTCACCCACCAGATTTAAATGGCGTTACGGACATCGGAAAACAGATAGTTAATGAATTAAAACACAAAGTTCGTGCTAATGTGAAACTCCGTTAATGTGCAACTAATTAGTTAAAATAAAACAACATAGAAACGATTCTAATTACAACAAACTATCACTTGATACAAATAACTCCTGCTATTGGAAGCAAATTAAAAAATCAGAAGTATATAGGTTAACTTAGTTACTATATTAACTAGGCCCTTAGTTAAAATACGTTGGAATGCTTTTGACGTGTAACAGTAGAGATGTTTTTAAAACAATTATTAGGAAAAAAAAATTCAATTACAAAATTGAAGGCAGAGAAACATAATTTCAGCACGTTTTTGAATTTCTCGCGAATGTGAAGATACACAAACAAAGTTCGTAAGAATCATAAACAATTTTTCAACAGTATGATTATAGACTAAAGTTTTTGTCGAGATGCATTGTAGAGGCGACAGATCGAGTTAAGATAAGAAATACATTCAAGCATGATATTTTTGCAAATACTTACTTTTATAGTATTAAAATTTGAACAATTCTAAATATCACAGAATACGCGTGATACCTATTTACAAGCATGTAAAATCGTCGCTATCAATATCAATTTCTTTCGACGCCTTAAATTTATTTATAATTTTCTTCATCACAATGAATCATTATATTTTCAATTTTTCGAGTGCTGCTTCGAGCACTCGTATGTAAATGTAATATTTGAGCACACTGACTACCAATCTTAAAATAAATATTACTATTGTTTTTTTTTACTTAAGATGGAATAATATTTATTTGATTACTTGCATACAATTCATGGCTCGATTAAATTTTATAGCAGATTAAAATAAAACATGAAGAGTGCACACATACAACATTAAAGGATAAATTATATGTACAATTTAGCGATGACCTATCGAATGCGACATTGAAAATCGTCGAGTTATAAAAAAGTCTTAAAAATCCCAAGAAAAGTGAAGAAAAAATAGCAAATGTTGTATACAAGCAAAATTTATACAATTCTTTTGTTTATGAACGATTATAAAAAGTGTAAATAAATAATTCCACGAAGAAACCATAGTATAAATAAATAAAAAAGTCGTGAAGTCGTCAAAATGCGTGTACACAAAAACATGTAATTTGCACAATAAATTAACGTTATAAGCGATGTTCACTAAAATATAAAATGATTTTATTCTCTTCTTGCATCGGAGCGCCTCTCTTTCGTTTCGTTTCTTTTCTTTTCTTTTCTTTCTTACTCTTGCTGCACATCCAGGGGGCTCGAATTTGACAATGAGACAGTTGGGTAATTAGGAGTTTGGTAAGTCGTTTCTACCACTTGGTACGCACTATCTGACGAGGCGGGTGCGAGGTCTGCGCTCGTTGTATCGATAACATTCGAGCTGGTATGCAATCGTGGTTCCTAAGTAAATCATGACTTTATGCGGCTTTTACAGTGGCCTTTTTTTCGCTTTTTTTTTGTTGTTGTTTGTTTGTTTTTTTTTTTTTAAGTTACTTAACTATTGTGAGTACGTGAATAATACAGCTTTAACAGACTGTAACACAGTGTCAAAAAGATAAAGTAAATAACACATTGTTATTAGCACCTTTTTTTTCGAGGCTGGAGCGAGATTTTATGTACATATAGATATTATTTCTAGAAGATTTTTTTTTCGTTATATGTACACGTAACATTATAATTGTTAAAGCTATATTTTTCTATAAAAGAAAAAATTAAAAAAGAATATTAGAGAAAGAGATCGAAAAACTCTTACATTGTTACGAGAGATTCAAAATTTACTGAAATATAATTTTATTTTTTTTTACAATAGAGATCACTGTAATCCGTCTCAATCAGCCTAGTAGTAGTAGTAGTTATAATCCATACACCATAAACGTTTTCGTTTTGTTTTTTTTTTTGGCTCGGTGGACATGCCTGCCTAATAGACGAGCATTCAAAAGCGGTCATCGTTAGCGCTCTCGTGATTAGTGGTTATTACAGCCCAAGAAAAAGTTTTTTAAGAGACAGACAAAACACCCTTAGTGAGTCAATAGTTCCAGTTAAGTAACAAAATAGATAGTAAATCAGAATAGGTATTAATGTAATTCAAATCTGGAACGTTTCGACTTACCTCTAACGGGGTTCTCGATTGGGGGCCACTCTTTTGCTGGAATATACGATGAACATTGAATTTTTATACAAAAAAAATGCTTTCGTCGATAGAGCTTTATCGAATAGAAGACAGCGTAGGATAATTTAAATGAAATTCATTAAAAAAAAGTAATTTGAATATCACTCTCGTGAAAACTCCAACTCAAAGCATCGTTTTCCATTATCGAAAAATTGAAATACTCACCAATTCAGCCAATCTCGCTTTAAATTCCGGAGGATAGTTATCTCCCTCGGTTTCGTCGTCTTTCGATCCCGATCCCGGGGCCTTCGTATGAACTTTGTTTCCTCGTCGTCCCACTTTGGAAGTACTGCTGGTCACGGACGTGATTTCCCTGGTTTGATCGCCGGAAGCTTGCTCGGGAGCGGCATCCGCTTTCGAGTCGTCGCTCAAATGTCCCGGGCGACGTCTCAGATTCCATCCTAGATTTCCGCGCGGGGCGTTGTCCGCTTGAAGCGTGGGCGCCGATGTCGATGAGCTGACTATAGCGATTGGAGCTAAAATAAAAAAAAAATTAATAAATAGTCAAATTTAAAGTACTCATATCCATTAAAAATTTATAAAAATAATATTTACTTTCATTCGTCGAGGGTTCTGCCGGCGTTCTTCCGCGAAACCCCAACCCATGGTTAAAAAAATCCTCCTTGGTAGCTTTGCGCTTGTCTCCGACGGTATCCTCTACTTTTTCGTTAACCTCGTCGTTGCGTTTGCCAATTTCGATGGGATTCTCGTTCACCGAGGTCGCTTCGGTCGAAGTGCTGGACCACCTGATGGCCGGCTGAAACGTAGTCGCCGGCAAATTGGCCTCGTGCAGAGGCGTCGAGATTCCAAAATTCGACGGTATCGCGCTCGAGGGAGAGAACGAGCCCTCGTAGGTCGGCTCCGAGCTCAGAATCGCCGGGGCTGGCGCTGCGGTCGGCGCTAGGGTCGTCGACGGAGCCGGAGTCGTAGTGGTGGTAGTGGTCGTCGAAGTCGTAGTAGCCGCCGTGGTGGAAGGACTGGCGGCGGTGGTGCTGGTGGTGGTCGCGGCAGCCTCGGTGCTGGTCGACAACTCGGCGCGGTAGCGACTCCTTGGCCTGTTGGGCTTTCTGGCGTCGACCGGGTGAGCCGCTATCTTCTTGGTGGCGGCTGCACTCGCCGGGCCGTTCTCGATCGGTTGTTGTTGTTTGTGGGGATGCTCTACCGGGTGCGTCCTCTGCGGCGGCTTGGGGAAGTAGGTACGTCTCCTCGGGGTTGGAGCCGGGGTCGTCGCGCCGTCTTTGTTGGCCTCGGTGGTGGTCGTGGTCGACGGGGGTTTCCTCTCGTTGTGACGCTGGCGGATGCGATTGGCGTGGGACTGAATGGCGGCCACGGTGGGCGAGGAACCTCTGGTGATGCCGCCTCTTCGCAACGGTCCACGAGTCGGTGCGGGGTTGGCGGCGGAAGCAGCATCGCTCGGGGCTGCCTCGGTGGTGCTCGCTGGCTTTCTCGTCGTGGTCGATCGGTTGCCGCGTATCTTGTAGGTCATCAGTCTATTTTTCGAGCCCTCGCTAGGCAGCGGGGTATCCGTGGCGTTGGACGCGGTCGTTGGCTTCTTGGCTTCCACCGTTGCGTCGATGGCAGCGTTCACGTGAAACTTCTCCGATCCGGAGGCCGATATGTCTTGCTTCAGAGTGGCGTCGGTGATGCGCTCGGTCACCATCACTTCTACGGTCGATTCCATTTCCGAGTCCTCGTTTTGTTGCTGCTGCTGCTGTTGCTGTTGCTGTTGCTGCTTCTCCCTGGCGAGTTTCAGAGCGGATCCACCCTTCAACGGTCTGGGTCTGATCTGTACGTGCTGTTGAATCTTGCGGCCGGTTCTGGCGCGCTGGTTCTCGGCCAACGGAGCCGCCGCCTCCGCGTCCGATTTTTGTTTGTCGTCGTTGGTAGCGGCGGATCTACCGGCGCTCGCGCGACCACCCACTCGCTGAACATCAGGAACTTTTGCGGCGGCGTCGCCCTCGTACGGCTCGTCGGCTTGAGCCTTGGCCGCGTGATCGTCGCTCGAGTCATCCGGCGAGTAAGACTTCTTGCCGGCGTCGTGGCCCGACTCGTCGGACTCCGCGGCGGTAGCGTTGGCGGCCGCCTTTTCAGTCTCGGGTAGGCGCAGTTTCGGTATCAGCCTGTTGCGTGAGACGAGCCTCGACGGCTGATGATAGAGGGCCTTGCGCGGCGTCGGCCTCGACGTGGATGCGACGGCGGCCTCGTTATTATTGTTATTGGCTCTCGAGGAGTCTTTGTCGAGCTGCGGTGCGCCGGTGGTGCTCGCTGGTTTATTGGTACGGCTCAGCTGGGTGGTCTTGCGGTTGAAGCTCGAGGCCCGTTGACGGCTATTCTTGATGGTCGTCGCATCCTGCTGCGACGAGGCTTCGGTGGTGGTTCTTGTCGTTGCGCTTCGAGGCGTGAATCGAGGCGAGTTACGGCTCGCTACTGTCGTACTTTGTTCCTTATTTTTTGGAGCCTGTAAGCAAACGTAAATTATTTGTTTCGACAATATTTTGCTTTGTGAGATACTTTACACAAATCTTAGTTTAGTTTTGAACTACACTATAAAAATACGACAGAGAATTTCGATTTAGAATCGATATAAAATATTCAGGCATTTATAACTCGATATGAAATTTTCAATGCAGAAAGTTCAAGGTGTGCTGCTAGCGAATTTGCTGTATTAGTCTGACGATTCATGAGACTACCTCTACGATCGCTAGCAGCGGCTAAATAGGCAATTTGTTGCTCACCTAAAGCTACTCGTGTTTCTTATAGCTTCGCACACATTTGACCCAGTATGTATAGATAGATCTCAGTGTATTCAGTACACGTTACGACGCCGCAACGTAAACAGCTAAATACAGGAAGATCGAATTGACCGTATCTAGTGATTCTCGTAAGAAAAGTAAAAAATATCTTGAATCATGGCGTCCGACGACGAATCCAACGTGAGTTACCATAGCGAAGACGAATGCCAGAATTATTCCGATTCTGAAAGTGCGAATCATCTTACGAAAGGCTCAAGCTTGGAACAACTCAAGTCCTTACGAGAAAAGGTCAATTGGGAAGACAAACTAGATAGAGAAAAATTTCGTCGTAAACTGTATCGCTTGATCCGCAATTGGCAGGGTCAACTTCCAAATCTTCGAGACATTTTTCGACGCGAAGAAATTGATTTTCTCATTATTGATTGCGTAACGAAGATTAACTCGATATTTTCGTCACTCGATTCATTCGTCAACTTTGTGCTCGCGACCGGCTACAAGGACGAGCCCGACGTAGACGAAGACGGCAAGCCATTGCTGCTTCGTACTACTGCAGTTCATTGGGCGTTTAGACGCAAAAATTTCAGTCTGATTGATTGTCTATTCCAAATATACAACAGGTTCGACGTGAATTACATCGACGAAGATGGATTGACGCATTTCCACGTGGCCTGTATGTCTCGAGGCTGTAACGACGTCGTCAAAAATTTTCTAGAACTCGGCCAGAATCCCAATATCCTCCTGCCAGAAACAGGTGATTCCCCACTGCACTTTGCTCTGGAGTACCGTTCCAAGGATATGACCGAATTGTTGTTGAGATACGGTGCCGATCCGAACTGGGCCAACAAGAAAGGAACGACTCCCCTTCACCTCATAAACGAGTGTGCCGTTACAGAAGTGTTCTTCAGGATTAACGATGAAAGATGTCAGGTATTGCAGATCGACGCCCGGGACGAGGATGGCAACACACCATTGCACTTTGCTGTGTCTCGCGGCGACGGGGAGTTGGCCACTATGTTGCTGAAAAAGGGCGCCGATTCGAATTCGGCCAACAAGAACGGAGCGACTCCTCTGCATTTTATAAGCATGAGATGTTTCGACCATCACTCAACGATTGCGAAGCTATTCTTTAAGATGAATGACGAACTAAATCAGATCGTAAAGATCGATGCAAAGGACAAGTTAGGTCGGACACCTCTTCAATGGGCTGTGGCGAATTTTAGTCCGTCGTGTATTGATGTGCTCTTGGATCATGGCGCTGATTTGTCCAGCTTCGTTTTCCCTTCTGCGAGTGACTTCGATGAGTTCTTTGAAGAAAATCGGTACGACGGACAGCAGGAATTATGTGCTTTTAGGACGTTAGCAGCTCTATGTGTCATCGAACGTCTGGAGAATAGAGGATACGAGCTGAACCGAAGCGACATCCTCACATTCATGACATTTCTGGTTGAACACGGAGCGTTCAAAAAGCCGGCACTCTTTGAAGAATTCAAGTACGAGAACGAGACGTTACTGATTGTACGATGTGATGTTCATTATGAAGATGATTCTTATTATGAGGAAGATGAGGAAGATGAGGAGGTGGAGGCGAAGAAGTTCGCGACAGAGGCAAAAAAGATAACGATCAGTCCGAATTTGTCGCTCTACGACCTGATTCGATTACGACCCAAAGAAGCGGCGAAACAACTCACATATGAGGACTTCTACAAGTTGCTGTATTCTGGATCTTTTTGGATCTATTTGCGCAAAAAATATGTAAAAGCTATTGAGTTGAATTTGTGCGAAAAACTATCGAGAGGATTTTTTCGACGCTGGGCTCTGGATCCTTTGATGGAGCTGACGCGCTATCAGTTACCGATTCTCTGCTGTGAAATGATTGTCGAGCAGCTGATGAATCAAGATTTATGTAATATTTGCTTAGCGGCTGCGAGTCCAAGCTCGTAATTGTGTTAAATTAATTTTAGTATTTTGTTATGTCTGTATCATTAAATGTTTTAGATTGAAATAAATACATTAAAAATATACGAGGTTCATTACTTTTCTTGAATTTAAATTTTTCGTGTTTTAATTTTATTTTAATTTCATTACCCAACCAATTCACGGTGTAACGTAACAACAAATAGCGAGAAAATATACTGAAACTCGATAACGCGTATTTTGCGCCTGTTTGGTAAGTGATTCTAGTGAAAAAATTAAAAACTACATCATCGATTTGTAAGTGATTTTGTTTGTGGTAGTGGGTAAAACTATGACCCGAAAAAATCAAAAATGTTTGAAAAAACTGAAGAAGATGCATGAAAAGGTCAATTGGGAGGTCAAAGTAGAGCGTCATAATTTTCTTCGCAAACTCATTACCTTGATTAGAAATGGGAAGGGCCGACTTCCTAATCTCCGAGATATATTTAGGCGCGAGGAAATCGATTGGATTATTACGCAGGAAGTGAAGAATATGGATAAGCCAGAAATCCCCCGTAGTTTAAGGCAAGCTCCAATCATTATTAAATTTTTTATCAGAACCGGCTACAAAGACGAGCCCGAAACCGATAAAGATGGCAGGCCACAGCGGCGTCGCACCACTGCAATACATCATGCTGCAATTGCGACCCAAAGAAGCCCCGAAACAACTCACACAAAATGACTATTACGACTTCATGCGTAGGTTAAAGTTCTCAAAACATTTTTGGGAGCGTATTTTATTTTGCAGCTTGAGCACCTGAGCGAGAAAAAATCGAGAGGATTTTTCTGGCGCTGGGCACTGGATCCTCTCATGGAGCTGACGCATTAACAATTACCGATTTTTTGCTGTGAAAAGATCATCGACCAGCTGATGAACCAAGATTTATGTCATATTTTCATAGCGGCTACAAACCAAAGCTCGTAATGGTGCCAAACATAATTGCAATCAGTTTCAAAGTCTACTTTTGTCAAGTGTGTCAGACTTTTCTTATCATTCAAATGATTCAAAATAAATTAAATTCATTAATTTGCTTTTTGTTCTTATTTATGCATAATAATATGCATTGTTTTTCGTGAGAAATCGTGGGATGAAATTCTCGACGAAAGCACCGTGAAATAAAAATCGAGAAAGTTAAACTAATAATATAGTAAAGAGTATTTAGTGTTAGCTCACCAAAATTATACGCAAGGTACAATTATTTTAGTCAGTCATGATTGTGCGAATGTAAAGCATCAATGACGCTATAGACTAATTATAAAGAATTGCTGGGAGAAAGTGTGTACGCGCGATTTTTACGGATTTATCTGCTTTTGTTTTCAATTAACCAAAAAAACTTGTTGATCTTCGTTGAATGGCTATTAAAGTACATAGATAAGGTATAAGATAATAATTTGTTTGTTTATTACCAAAAAGTACTAAGATTACGCCCGCTTATGTATAAGATTAAAGGGTTGTCTGTTACATTGAAATATATTTCAATAAAGTTGTAATGCATTCATTTAATAAGTCAGTAGTTAGAGTCAAATCATAGTCAGACGCGCGTTAACGTACTTTTGGCTCCAAAATTAATAATCACTCCGCTGAAATGAATTAAAATCGAAAAAAGTCTTGTTCAAAAAATTATCACCGATACAGATCCACCGACATTTTCTGCCGAGTCCTGAATAACAAGCCAACTTTGATCAGTTAAGGGATCCTATAAATATCCACGGTTACAAGACCCACCCAACGATACGGATAAAGATTATCGGCTATCGCACGAAAAGTACAACACACATACCGGGCTCAACGAAATCTGACGATTCGCGCATACATATACACGTTCTCTGATTTATCGCGATTCTTTTTTTATTTTTTCTTACAAGTACATATACAGCTGCTGCTCCATTGAATTAATATTTATAGCCGGAACATCTGTGTCAGGCGCCGCGCGCGCGCGCGCGAGGAGCTGTGTAGCAATTCGATTCGCGATATACACATTGTGTTTATATATGCACCCATCTATACAGATCGAAGGGAAATTCCGTCACGTTTTTTTTTCGCGCGCGCGATGGGAATACAACAATATGTATGTAATACGTATGGAGAAGAAGCGAGATCGGGCACACAATTGCATTTAGATTCATGAGTTTTCCTTAATTTCGTTTGATAAATGCAGTGCGCGTGCTCGCGTCTTTTTTCTCTCTCTCTCTCTCTCCTTGTACCGCGCGCGATCCGACTTGTATTACACGCGGAGCTGATAAATCAAACGCTAATAGAATCATCGATGAGCGGCTTCTCTCTCTCCCTCGGCGCGGTGATGCAATAACCGATGCAGAAAAACGTGTTCTACGCCGATTATCGCTGCTGTATATCCCGTATAAATAAAGGAAGAGTGCGCGTATATGCAGCTACCTGCGGTTTTATTATTTCATATATACATGCATCTATGAGTTTAACTTGCTGTATCGGAAGTGCATAATGATTTACATCTGTTTGGTTTCGAGAAATAATAAGGCGCCTTTTTATTTGTATCGTGTGCGGAGCGTCGAGTAAAAAAAAAAACAGAATAAAATATGCAACGCGGATCGTGCATAATAATGCTCGGCAGTGTGTATTCATATCCGCGATGATCTCTCGCGTTTGGCACGTGCTTCGCACCAAAGATCGTTACATTATATCCATTATACACGGCTCGGAGTTAACTCGCTCGCGTACCCCACGCGCGTATACCTACTTCGCGTACTTGTAAACGCCGTACACTTCCTTGACTTTATATATACGCAGACCGTGGCATGCTTCAAACATATGTACCTAATCGAAAATGCGATACATCCTACCTCGCTCTCTCGTTTTATCGAGCTCTACGCGTGTGTATAAAGTTGCCTCGCGGTCAGTGTACTCGTATACATAAAATCTCCCACGTCTCTCTTTCTCCTCGTGCAGCAGCCGCGATAACGTTGCCTAGCACCGAGAGCCGATACGTATCCCTTTTGTACCATATCTTCGTGTTAGCTGCTACTACCCGATATAATACATGCATCGTAGGAAAGTAAAAGTGTTTTATATATATATATTATAAAATAAAACGTATTCACGAGGAACTCGTGTGCTGTTGCGCGTTCTGTTACTCAAACGTCGCGTTGTCTAGCGTAGTACCGACCACGCCACAATGCCTCGGGCTCGCGACGCTGAACAACGAGTCTCTATACGGCAGCACATGCGCTGCACCGTACGCGAATCGTGTCGATGAATTTTCACTCGTGTGCGAGAATTTTACATCGGATAGCTCTATTGTCGGGACGCATTTTGGGGAGAGACAGATCGTGACTTTCGTACGAATTCGACTTGGTTGAGAGAATATAATGTACTCGTATACGCGAGCGACAGTTTTCTTTTATCGTCGATAAAAATACATTTCAATCGTACGTTATTTTCCATTACCTAACGGCATTATCGAAGTAGATTGATTAATTTTTATAATTAGAATCTCGGTCGAATATCTCATTCGATTTTGAAACCCGCACTCAGTGTATTATAGATCGGAGAAGAAAAAATCGAAGATGAATCTTGTGTTTTTACACATTTCTGCGACGTATACAAGGGCTCATTACATCTATGCGCA